GAAGCTGTGAGAAACCATTAGAGCAAGGACTGGTTTGCATCTGAGTCCCAGCACACCTTTCTTCTCACCTCCTTCAACCCCCACACCACAAGACTGGCTGCCAGGAATGGCTCTCTGAGTTTCTGGGGAGGTGGGCTTTGAGTGGGGCCCAGGAGAGGACTCCCACAGAGGCCTGCCTCTCTTGTGGAATTCAGCCTCCCTCCCCTTCCTGAAACCAAAGCATCCTCGTGGCTGTAGGGAAGACAAGGGACGAAAGGAACAACCCAAACTCCCCTTCTCCTGCGCTGCCCACCCAGGGGCTTGGTGATCTCCAGCCAGTCCTGTCTTTTGTGCTGGCTGAGTCTTCCATTGCTCTTTGCTCCCCAGGCCCTCCTCCCCAAGCTTGGCCGAGGCCTGCAGATGGGAGACAGTAGAGGGACAGGAGTCCCAGCCTCTCCTTTGCTTGGCCTGGTCCTACCCAGCCAGCAGGTCTAGCCATGCCGCCAGCTTTCAGCCCACAAGATGCCAAAGGGGCACTGGGAGGGGTGTGTTGGGGAAAGTGAGCCTCCGCCTCCCCACCAACACTTCAAATCTTCCCCTCTTAACTTTGCCCCCACCCAACCACAGAGACCTCCACAAAATCTCCTGTGAGAGGCTGCAAACTCTTGTATTGCAGAACACAACTTTTTTGAGGAGGCAGTTTTTGCCTTCTGCCCATGTTCACATCGCCTGGGTGTTTACCTGTTCACTGGCTTACTGTCTGTCCATGACTGGCACTAGGGTGGAGTGGAGGGGATGCTGAGGGCAGTCTCGGGGTCACACAAGTGCTGGTCTTGTGTCTGTGCCCCCCAAGATCATGTAAGCCCATGTTTTGGGGGACAGTGTCTGCATGTGTTCACGTGTTAGTTCCAAGAACACAAAAGCTGCTCAGTTAATATTTAATTCGTCGAGCAATGTGTTCTCCATGGGTTTTGTCGACTACACTCTGCAGAGCAAACATTCAGAAGTGTGGGGAATTCTGGTCCTCGCAGCCTGGAGGAGCTGGGCGTGGGGGTGCCGGGTCAGGATGCCGGCAGGCAGGGCACTGAGAGGGGCACCGAGGAGTCTCCCAGCTCCCTGACATCTGGAGCAGAGTCTGCTTGTGGGAGCCTGAGGACCTCCTAGATGAGCCTTCTGCTTCCTTTGTTTATTCGTTCAGATTCTGGCCTCCAGGCTTGGGAATGCTGACCATTTCCACAGATGGCAAGACAGCTCCCCAGGCCTTGGTCCCCCAGGAGGTGAGAGACTGGCTAGTAAGAAGGGAAATGAAGCCTAGAAGCCTCTTTGCTGAGCAAGTGCTACGAGCAAGATGGGTGCCCTGGAGGCTGAGTCTGTCCTGGCCACCCCCAGACTCAGCACAGAGCAGGTGGGCACACAGAAGGTGCCTGAATAATTATATTTGAACTGCAGCAAGAAGACCTAAGGAATAGGAGTGCTAACTGCAGAGAGAGGAGCAGGGTGAGTTCACTCATAAATGAGGGACATAATGGGAGATGGTCTGCAATTAAAAATATATGAAAGAAATGCAGCCGGTTTCCTTTCAAATTCAGAAGCCTAAGCTAAGCTCCAAATGGGTACTCGCATGTCAAAGGCAGTAATTTAATGAAAAAAAAAAAGAAAAAAGAAAAGAAAAGGACTCCTGGCTAGCCAAGGAGGCTGGGCAGGAATGCAGAAACACCTTTGCAGCACTCCTGTGTTCACTGGCGTGCACATCGCTGTGAACCTCCAGCTGCTGTGGTGTTGGGGAATACGGTTTCCCTCTGTTTGAGTCAATGCACCGAGTTATGTAGCCAGGAGACTCTAGGAACCAGTGACTCATGGTCACCGAGGAGTGAGTGACGCATCTGAGGAGGTTTCCCAAGAAGTGACAGAGGAAATCTCTTTTATCTTCCACACCTGGAAAGGCTTCTGAAGACTGGGCTCTTTCTCTCTTTCCCTTTGACTGGGTAGCAGATTCGCACCAGCTTTGCAGCCCACACAGGGTCGGGGATCACTTTCTGAAAACAAGTTGCCCACTTCCTACAGTAGAGACATAAGCTGCTGGGGCGGGGTGGGGATGAGTAAGGATGAAAGGAAGCGGGTGTTGTAGGAGCCCCCTTCCCCCTTAGAACGTGGCTCTGCTGGGTGCCACAGCTGCAGGCTGCTGCCCAGAATTCTTCACCTTTAGTGAGAGGGAGGGAGGGGAGGAAACCAGTCCTGCTCCCAGATCTTCCTGTCTGTAGTCTCTCAAGGCCCAGGGCAAGATGGAGGGGGACATGTCACTGGTTTCAAAGGAGAGAATGAGGCACACAGGGGTTACCAGCTTGCCCAAGGTCACACAGCTGGTAGAGTGAGGCCCTACTTCTGGCCACCTCAGCGTGCACCACAATGACTTCCTTGGGACAGATTTTGGAAAAAAAAATCGTAATTTATGAACAAGTCTCTCACTGATGGGTATTTAAGCTGGTTTCAATTTTTTAACATTACAGTGACCAGAGCCTCTTTTAAAAGGGCCGTTTCACGCTCACTGGGCAGCATGTAGGCTGAAACCGGACAACGCAGAGAAGATGGACATGGCCCCTGCGTGAGAAAGACACACAGATTCGTGCAGTGTTCCATATCTAAAATTAAAATAAAATTAAACTTAATAAAATAAAATAGACTGTTTCTTTTTTCAACCTTTTCCCCTCAATTGCAAGTGTATGAATTGTAAAAATTCATACAACACGGAAATAAACAACTCAGAAATGGAAATTCTCCAGAGTAACTGCCATTAACAACTTAGAAGATATTTTTAGACCTTCTTTTACACATATACAAACAAATATGTCCGCAGATCTTGTTATAACATTGGACAAAAGAATAAAATTTGCAGAATAATAAGATTCAGTTTTGTATTCTATATCTAATTATTATATATTTTACAAGATTGCAATGTTCTGTTTTAAAAAGTGCATGCAGAAAACATATGAAAGAGCAAGAAACTTTTAAATACTGGTTTTACACATTTCTCTAATGTCCTGTACTTGAATGTTAAAATACTTCTTTATTAAAGTATAATCTGCATCTACAGTCATACGTATACTTAGAAGCTAACATCTAGTGAATGCACAACTCAGCGACTTTTCACAGCCACACACACTCTGTGCCCAGCTCTGGACTGAGCGGCAGAAGTGCCGACACCCACGCCTGTGCTGCCTTGTGATACTCACCCCGCACCAAGGGCAACTGTGCCCTGACTTCTAACGTCTATGCCTCTTACCCGATTTTTTCTGTGCTTGAATTTTAAGCGTGTATTGGATTTAATGTGAGAATAATCAATACAGATATTGTTAGAATATGTGCAGGTAGAGTGGCCATCACTTGATGCCAGCATACATGGACCTGGCTTGGTGACAGCTGGCATGGACTCTCTTACAAGGTTGTGTCACAGTTACTCTCATTGGCTCTTTTTGATGGGCATTTGAGTTGTTTCTGATTGTTGGCTAATAAGCCAAAGACAAGAAACAATTTGGTGCATATTTCTTTGTGCATTTAACTTTGAGATGTGTGTTTTTAAAAAAGATATATGCCTACAGGTGGAATTGATAGTCAAAAGACAGCTGGATTAAAAAATAATTATTTTTTGATATTTTGCCATAATGGCTTTCTAAAAAGAAGCAACAGCTCAGTTTCTTCTTCAAAACAAAAGCCAGGTGCCGGGTGCAGACCTCCTCACCGCAGCCCCCACTACTGGCAGCCAAGCCCGTTCCCTGGGCAGGCCGAGCAGAGCAGAGCGGTCTTGCCTCAGCAGGTGCCTGCGGCACAGTAAACACCAAGGAGCACCCCACCCCCACCCCTGCCCCCACAACCTTGCCCCCCTCCACACACTTGCAAAGAACTAAACACATTCCCAGAGATAGCAGTGGGGAGACACTTAAATTGCAGAGCAGAGCCTGCAGTGAGATGAGGGCCCTTGCGGCCTATTCTTACCTCACTGTGGACTGGGTGTGCTTCCGGAGGGAGGGCAGTCCGCCTGCCTGGGCCTTAATCTCTCATGGTTTACATCGGACATCTCTAAGCAAGGAGCCCACCTTAAAAGTGATCCCTGGAATAGTCTGGTCCAGGTGACCCTGGCCCTTCCCCCTGCCCCCTCTCCAGCCTGGGGAGGCAGCCTGTCCTGTTGCCCTTGAAGCTGATGGGCAGAAAGCATTTACTTCTCTTGAGCACGTCCAGCACCTGTGTCCTTCTAACTCCCACCCACCACACCGAGTCCTGCTGTGCCCTCCAGCCCTGAGCCTCTCAGATGACAGAGGTGGCTGCACTGTTTCTTCTTTGCATTGTGGCTGCCAGAGGCCTCTGAACAGAATCTGGCTTGCCAATGCCCTTCTTATATCATACCTCCCAGTCCAGAGCTGGGCTGGAAAAGCAGGTGGGACCCTCTTGTCATTTGACCTGGGCATGGTGCTTCTGTAAATGCAGGCTAAGGCTGCATTCTTTTTGGCTCAATAGCTCTTATGATGCTAAAGCCCAGGGTGGGGACCTAAGATAGGATTCCCAGACCTTTTCAAAGCCCGCGAGTCTTCATCTTGACTCTCCTCTCCAGTTCAGCTTTTTCTCCTTACCTTTTTCTTCTCTGACCATCGATACTGAGAGACAGTAAAAAAATCAATGAACATGTGACAGAGATCTTGGTGCCTCTCACCTTTTCTTTTGAGCAAGGTCACACTGGTCTTAAGGCCAGGAGTCCCTGGGTTTCCAGCCCTGACAGGAATGAACAGGTGCTAGTGAAGGCAGCTTGGGAGTGGGCCAGAGGACCTCAGCCCTGAGGGACCTGCTGTCTGGCTCTGTGTGTCCTGGTGCCTACCAGCCCTCAGCCCTCTCTGCGCCTACAGATGAACTGTGACATGCTGTGGGGACAAGTGAGGCCGTACACGTTTTATCCTTATTTCTTTTTAACTATGCATCAACATCTTTGCTGAATAGATGGGCTTTTGTGCTTTTATATCACATGAGCCATTTGATTTTTTACTCAGGACTTTATTTTTACAACCAAGACATTTTTATAAAAAGAGAACAGAAAGTGAAAGAAGAAATATACAAGCCATTAGAAGGCCAAAATGAGGACCAAGGACCAAGAAGTTCCCACTGGGAGTTGAAGTGATCTCTTACACCCAAAACCACAAGTTCCTGGCCCCAGAGGTGGTCCTCAGAGATGGACCAGACTGTGAGGGGCCAGCTCAGCCCCTCCTGGAGGCTTCCTTTTCAAGCTGCATCTGACCCCTGGGCTCTCTGTGAGGACAGTCAGCCCTGGCCTGGAAAGAATAAGGGGAAGCCAGCCCAGCGCTATGCTATGACTCAGGTCTCAGTGTCACTGCCCAACCAGGGCAAAACAGCTTGCGGACAGTGGCTGGACGGCCAACCCCAGAGATCCCAGCCCAGCCCAGGGCGAGTGCAGGAGCAGGAAGTGGCGCCATGGGTGGCATTTCTTACTCAGTGCTCAGTGTGCCCGAGGTGCAGGAAGTGTCCGGGGCTCTGGAGCCTTCTCTCTAAGACTCCAGATGCCCAACTAACAGGCTGTCCCCACGCACAAGGCCCACAGAAAGAACGTGCAGAGTTAAAGCAGGCAGCTTCAGCGGGTCAGTGAGATTTTCACTCAGCGTGTCCCTCGTCTCTCGTTTTTCCAGATCTCGTTCATTCTGACCAACGTGTTGTTGTAGCAGGACACCCAAAGCGCATTCTCTGCTCATTTATAGAACCTGAAAACAACAGCAAGTTGTGAAACCACTTATTTTCAGACAAACGCTATTGAATTCCTGCAGCGGACAAACGGCAAACAAGGACACAGGGCTTCACTCCGTTAGTAGCCTGGGCCAGGAGTTCTGTGTCAGTATGTTTTTAGGGCCCATCTTAATCATTAAAAAAACTTTTAAAGCTAAAAAAAAGCAGCCCAAAAGGCTCTAGCTTTGAAGAGTGTTACTTCCTGCAGTACCTTCTAAGATAAGTTCTTCACGAATGCACACCAAGGGGCCAAAAGCTGGAGGCCCGCTGGTAGAATGGATTTCCGAGGCCAGTTAGAGGCTAGGCTGAGGATGTCTGCTCCCAATCGCACCTTGACTTTGGAACAGCTTATCTGTGAGGCCCTCGGATTATTTTGTCCACACCTGGATCATCATAGCAAAACCAGAGGTGGCTTTCAAGCTCTTTTAACCACAAACCCTTTTGTTCAAATGCTGTCTCACAGGTAAGTGTAACCATAGGCAACAGATGCGAGCCGAGCTGTGAGAAGAAGGTGAGGGGAGCTCAGGGCCTTCCCCATGAGCACCCCCAGCTCCTTCTCTGCCTCAGTTGATCCTCAGAGCCCTTGGGTTTGCCAAAGTATAAGGCCCTGCACCCAGCTTCCCACGGATCGATGTCAAATCACTGGGGGACGAGTTAAAGGGAAAGGGTGCGTGGGGGGCAGAACCACAGGCGGTTCCCCGAGGAGGACTCATTCTCCATAAAAGGACATTCTAGGGGCCTGGGTTGAGACAAATACACTCAAGTTACTGTCTCTTGGGTAGGAGTTAGTTTCCAAATCCAGCATGTAAGTTGAAAATTATACACAGTTAAAGTCATCACTGAATATTGCCTATAAAATACAGCAGGCATGTTTGAGCAACAATGTATACAAAATATGATATATACAATAGTGTGAAGCATATAACATGGAGAGCTCATATGGAAATTATAATTTTAGAGTATTTAAAAATGCATTTTGTGTTTTGGTTGCTGGCTTGTAGAGCTGCCTCTCCTAAGTGATATGAGCGTGTGCTGCGGTGGCCGAGAGCTTGGTGCTGTCGTCCCATTTCGCAGATGCAGAATCAGAGGTTCAGGGAAGCAACTCGCCTACAGTCACATGGTGGGTGAGTGGCAGACAGGATTCAAACCCAGATCTGCCTCCTGCTAGAGCCAAAGTTCTTGAGCATGAGGCCCTGCTGCCCTCTTCAAACTAGAGGCCTGGACTTTTTTTATTTTCAAACAACTTTCTGTGGAGAGGGTTGCAGTTAATGAGATGGGTAGCTGTGAAACATCCTCTAGTTTGCGGAAGGAAAACCAACCCAAGAACACTGTCTGTGGCCCAAGCGGGGTCCAGAAATCCTTGAGGCCTCTGGCCTGCCTGTCCCTTGCCTGTGCTTACGCAGCCCAGTAGGACCAGTGGATGAGGTCTTCCTAGCCCTGTGTGTATGGTAGTCAGCTGGTGGGCTCGCTAACCCCTGGGAGCCAGGACCAGGAGCTAGCAGACCCCTGTGCCGGGACCAAGCAGCACAACATCCGACACCAGCAGGGAGGACAGTGGCCCTGGAAGGCCCCACTTGCTCTTGCTTTTACCCACTTCTGCTCTTTCCTACTCCAAATGCTTTGAGCAAGTCTTTCAACTGCTCTGTAAAAACAACCCTCCAATGTCAGGCAGGACCGAGTCAAATGAAAGAACAGGTAAGGCCAGGTGAGGGTCTGGGATCTCCGGCCCTGTTCCATGCTCGCAAGAGCAGCTTGTTACCTCCAGGAGGGCTGAGAGCTGACTCCTGTACTTGGAGTACATCTTGTTTGTTTAGGTGATTTCTTTCTTGAGCTCTATCACCCCATGGACTTACAGAGTCTATGATTTTTTTTTGAAGATGTGGTGTCTGGCTTTGGCTCCTTGCCAATGGAGGCTGTGAGCACAGCAGGGGCTGAGGAAGCCAGGACCACACCCAGGGCGGCGGCATGGGCCCTGGTCCAAGGCCCAAGCACTTACTTTTTCATGAAGCGAAGCCGCGCTCTCCTCCGCAGGCCTGAAAAAAGAAACCAAGAGCCCGAGTCAGCTGACACCACGCCCCAGGGAACAAGGAGCGTGAAGAGAGGGACAGCTAGCACCTCAGACAACTCCTCTGGTGCCAGGCTTTGCATCAGCTTCATGTGTCTTAACTCCCTTAACGCTCCCAGCAAACCTAGGAGTGGGACCCTACTCTTATTATCTCCGTTTTGTATGTGAGGAAACTCAGGCATGGAGCAAGTGTGTTACTGAGTAACTCGCCCAAAGTTACACAGCTGGCAAGAGGTAAAACCAGAATTCACACTCAGTTAATCTATTCCAGTCTGTGCATCCTCAAACATGCTGTGTTGCCCTTCACAGCACATCAGGAATGAGAGGTGGTAGAGACAGGGGGTCTTGAACCTGTGTTTTTGGGAGGTACACAAGGTTTCCCATTGGAATAGAGCACAGGTGGCAAACACAAGGCCTGTGGGCTGCATCCGGCCCTCCACCTTGTTTTATCCAGCCCGGCACCTTGTTTCTACCTGGCGGCAGTGCTGAGCTCTTGCTTAACTGTTAAGCAGTAGTCACATGTATACAGTCCTAAAATTACATTCCAGCCCCTTGAAGGCAACTGCGAGGCTGATGTGACCCTGGTGGAAATGAGTTTGACACCTCCTTTATCATAAAGGAAGGAAATAGGAGCAGGGCTATATGAGTCTATCTTATCTTTTATAATTTTTTTATTTTTGAAGCACATTAAATGTGCTTCATGCATAATATACTAAATAAGGTTCGCAGTTCACTGAACTTCTCTGGAGCTCGTAGAACAGGGTAAATGGACTCCTTGTGGGGAGGCAGCTGCACCCACAGACATGCCCCTGACACATCTATCTAGGGAGAGGGTCCACAAGTGTCATCACGTGGCCAAAGGAGACCTATAAAAGAGGCTCTGGTCTGGTCCGTAGCCCTGCAGGCTACCCCCTCCCATTGTACTGAAGCCCAGAAAGGGCGAGTGAATGGCTCAGGGTGGCACAGGCGAGCCTGGGGAGCTGGGCTCTGTGGCGGCTATGCGAGCCTCTCCTGCAGCTGGGGGAGGAGGGCGCGTAGGAGATAGTTCTGTCTCCACCGTGGCGGAGAGCAGTAGCCATCTCTGTGTTTCCCTATAGCCTCACAGAAGGGGAGGGTTTCTAGCTTCTGGGAACATAGCCCAGACCCCACTTCAATCTCTCCTATGTACTGCTTTCATCCCGACTGCCCACAGAAGTTCCTGCTTACTAAGCACAGGCCCCAGCTGGGCACTTGGGGCAGGACTTTACAAACAGCCACCCTGGGAGGTACGTGCTATTGCCCCCCAGGCCTCTGGGAGCTCAGAGAGGCCAGGACACACACCCACAGCCACTCAGGGAGCAGTGGGGTTAGATTCAGACCCAGGTCTGTCTATCTCCAGAGACAGGGTGGTTTCTAACCCCTGCACGTGGCCTCAGGCAAGAATCACCACTGGAAACACCCTGGGTTCTCAGGCTCGAAACTGCCTTGCTACCCTAGAGAAGGAAGGACCCTCATGGACACCTCTGACAGCAAAAAAGCAGTGGCCGTGATGGCCCAAGAGGGGACCACTTACAGTACAGGTGAATGGACACAGCCAAGGACACCAGCAGAATCACGGCGCCAGTCACCAGCAGGCCCAGGGTCAGGGGGCCACACGACGGGCCTGGGAGACACACATGGAACATCTGAGACACGCAGACCGACACAAAGAGGGGAAAATTAACTAAAAGCCCACCTCCCACAGGATACCACTGTTTGCATGTCTTCTTCCAGTCTTTTCTCTAGGCACTTTACACACATTGGGATAATTTTATATATAAAATGTCATGCCCCACATCCAAATTAAAACTCAAGATCTATTTATATTCAAGGGAATTAGACCATTTTAACAACTGATTATGGGCTTTTGGCATTTATTTTTTAAAATTTTACTTTAATTTCATTAAAAAATAGCTGAATATATTTTCACTGTAAAAGGTTCAAGGGTATGAGCGCTCCTTGACACCCTCACTCCTTCACAGCTAATTTGGTGCCTTTCCCTTGGCGTCTTCATGTACTCAATACGCAGTTTGCACAGGCACATGTGGTCTTTTAAAAACAGAGAGGGTTACATTGTATACATTGTTTTGCAATCGCTGTATTCGTTACTTAAACGTTCTTTTTCTAGCAGAGCAACATTTAACTACCGTGGATCATTTTGCCATCAGTAGGCATTCTGTTTATTTCCTGCATTTTATAAATGACTGCAGAGAACATCCTGGTTTGTTTCTCCTTACGCCAGAGCCTGCCTGAGGCAGACACTGAGACAGGACCTAGTAAACTGTAGGGTGTGTCCATTTGATAGACACTGTCAAATGCCTTGCAAACAGGCTGCACTGATTTCCACCCCAACTTCCAACTGTGCACCCTGCCAGCACTTGATGTTATCAAAGGTTTGGGGTTTTGTCAGTCCAGTGGGTGAAAAATATTTTACTTCAATTCCTTGATTATTTGTCAGCCTCAGAGGCTTTCATACACTGGCCGCTTCTTTTTCTCCTATGAGTTGCCTATTTGCTCCTTCACCCATTTTGTATGCTGCCTGGACAGTGGAGTGTAGCTCGTCGATGCCCAGATCCTTGTCTGACACACTTTGTGCCTCCACGGTTGGTGCCTGGGAGTCGCTGAGGGGCAGAGTCAGGACTCATGGGTGACAAGGGCAAGGGATCACAGACAAAAAAAATGAGAGCTTAGATCTGAATTTTTACTGAATACCTATTATGTGCCAAGTATAATACTAACTGCAAAATTCCATCTTGAGAGGAAGGAGGGTGTTACTATCATTTTTATTCTCTCATTTTATAGTTCAGAAAAACCAAGATTCTGGTTTTTCTGAAAAGGCAGGGCCAGAGTATAAATAGAGATCTTCCACGTTCTAAAGCCCCAGCTGGCCCCGCCAGGACAGCCTGAGGGCGTGCGAGGCAGGGAGGGCACGGAGTGTGCCCCTCTGAGGGAGGCAGCCCGCTTTTGCCAAGGTGGGTGGTGCCACGTGGCGGGGAGATCCCTGCACTGGTGGCAGGCCGCATGGAGGTCCTTGAAAGTCCTTCCTACCTCTGCGATGCAGGGGTTTCTGTCTGCCTCCCTCTCACCTCCTCCGTGTTCTCTCAAAAACATGGTGCTAAGGAAAGGAAGCCAGGCATGAAAAGTCTCCATTTTGCATGACTCCATGTATACAAAATGTCCAGAAGAGGCAAATCTATAGACAGAAAATCTGTAGATACAGAAAATTTACAGTATAGAGACAGAAAATCTAAAGTAGGTTAGAGGTTGCCAGGGGCTGATGTGGGAAAAGAAACCAACTGTAAACAAGTTCAAAGTATCTTTTAGGGCTGATGGCAAAGTTTTAAAACTAGATTGTAGTGATGGTTGCATAACTTAGTAAAGGTGCTAAAAATCAGTTACATGCTTAAAATGGTGAATTTTATGACATGCAAATTGTACCTCGATAAAGTGGTAATTTGAAAAAAAGTAACAGAAGTGGGTGAAGGTCACAGGGCTGTGCGGAGCGGGAAGGGCCCTCTCTGAGGCAGGGTGGCTTCCTGAAGGCTCGCGTGGCTGAGCTGGGGGACTGCAGTGCGCCTCCGGTCCACAGAGCAGCGTACCATCTGCCAGCGTGCGGCGCCAGGAGAGGCCGTTGCTTCCAGCAGAGGTGCTGAAGCCTGCCTGGGCGGGGAGCTGTGGCCAGAACCATGCCTGTGACGCACAGCTTGGCTTCCTTGTCCTCACTGGGGTCTCCTGAGGTCTGAGTCTCACCACATTCCTCCTGAGACAGTGGTTTAGAAACTGTCCCCCAGGACCTCTCAGTGTCTCTCCAAGGACAGCCCAAGCCTTGGGGAGAAGGTGCCTGCCATGGTGGCCATGAGGGTGTTCCTCATGATCATAAGCTGTAGCTCTGTCTAGGGACCTGCCCAGCTGAATGCCTTGTACATGGCATCTCTTTTAACCCTCTTTCCCTTTAGCTAGGCAAACACCCCCATTTTACAGATGAGGAAACTAAGGTTCAGACAGGCTGAATCACTTGCCTAAGGTCACACAGCATAGGCAGTAGCAGACAGGGATTATAACCGAGGCCTGGCCGACTGACTACTGGGTTACGCTGCCCCATGGCCCCCACCCCAAATGCAACCACCACCTACCACCCCCTCCACACCACTTGGCTGCCTGTTTATTCTAAAGAACCTGCTAACATTGGATTTACATTTTGCCCCAGGATTTTACTGAAGATTAATATTAGAAATGAGGCAAGAAATTAGAAGACTTTTCATCCATCATTTATAGAAGGTTTACTGAATTCACTATCATTCAGCCATCCTTACATAAGGATGAGCAGATCAGATTTCTTCTCGAATTTAAGGCTGGATGGATAAAGGCTCGGATGCCAGGGTTGTGTTTTTCTGTCGCCGTGGTGGTTGTGCTGTGTTGCTTGGAGACTTGTTTTTGTTTTAACCTGATTTGCCAGCTCCTTCAGGGCCACAGCACAGGGCCTGTGTTTGTGTCCCCATCTTCAGGGCCCTACTGTACCTTCCTTTTCTGTCCTTTTTTGTTGTTCCCGCTTGAAACCCTTTAGGCGAAGTCCTGGGGCACCAACTTGTAAAATGAGGTCACTCTGCCTTCACCTTTGTGTTCCCTGGGTCGCTGCTCTCTGTACACAGATTCTGATGTTGTTTTTACAGTGACCTAATGGGGCAGCTTCCCCAGACTCTTCCTGGGACTTTATGTCTATTTAAGACAAAGCAGCCCCAGAAGCACGAGGCAGCCTGGTGTGGCTGCTTACAGTTTGTTCTATGGGTTGGAGCAGATGGTACTTTCCGTTTGTTGCCACCAACTTTTGGGGACAGAGGTCAGTATTTTTCTAGAAACACATTTGGTTTATGGGTTCAAGAAGTGCGTGTGTGTGCATGCGTGTGTGTGTGTGCTACAGCTGGTGTCTGGTGCCCACGGGATGAGCGGTGAGCGTGCTCTCCCATTAACGAACTCAGAGTGAGCACACGCCATGTGTTAGGTCCTCCGTCAGGCACCAGAGTGGGAAGGTTTAAAGTTCTGGCCCTTCCGGTTGGGTTCTTTGTTTGTTAGTTAACACCTTTATTGAGATATAATTTACATATTGTAAAGTTCATCTGCTTCAAATGTATAATTTCATGTTTTTTTGTAAATTCATAGAAATGTGCAAACAACTCCACAATCTGATTTTAGAACATTTTTATCCTTCCCCCTAAAGAAATCCTGTATGTATTAGCAGTCACGCCCCATTCCTCCCCCGACCCCTTGGCCTTAGGCAACCACAAATCTACTTCCTGTCTCTATGGAATATCATATTCTGGACTTTTCATATTAATGCCCATATCATATCATATCATATCATATCATATCATATATGGTCTTTTGTAACTAGCTTCTTCCACTGCATAATATTTTTAAGGTTCATCCATGTTGCTGCATGTAGTAGTAATTAATTCTCGATTATGACCAAGTAATGTTCCATGGCATAGATAGTCCACATTTTGTTAGTCCATTTGATTTGTTTCTACTTTTGGACTGCTATGAATAATGATGCTAGAAAAGTGTGTGTGAACGTTTTGGGTGGACTTATCTTTGACAAAGTTTTGTCCTGTGACGACTGGTGAGTGTGCCCCCCACTAGACTGTGAGCCACTGAAGGACAGCACAGTCTCCCTCTGACCCCAGCTCAGGGCCGGGGGACAGGCTCACAGGTGTGTGCTTGGGGATTGCCTAAGGGAGGAAAGAAGGAAGGAAGGAAGGGAGTGACAGTGTCTGCAGCGCTTCTGAGAGCCGAGGGGAGTGGGGAAACTCACCCTTCGGAGTCACTGGGCTCGGGAAGGGTCGGCACCTTCTCTTCTTAGTGGTGGTCTTTTTGGTGGGCTGGGCAGTGGTGGGAAGGACATCAACTACAGAAAGCAAGCAAGACCCAAATCTTAGCCAGGCAAACAGCAGGCAGACATAGAGAGAAAACTTAACACTGCGCTTCCTACCTCCAGGCACTGAAGTCCCTATGACCACTCCCTAGGCTGCTCCACAGCTTCAGGGTCACAGAACAATAAAACCCTTGAACTGCTTCCCCAACTCTCAGATCTATCTGTGGGTCTGTGGACAGGGCTCAGTTTGGAGTCCTGGAGAGAGAGGGGTTCTGGAACTACACAGACCTGAACTGAGCCCAGCACCCCTGATGAACCATTAACCAATGTGTAACTTGGGGCAAGGCCTATCACTTTTCTGTGCCTCAGTTTCCCCATCTACTGAAATAAAAATGGTCTTCGCCTCCTTCTTGGGGTTGAAGTGAGAATTAAACTGGGGCTGTTGTGCCCAGTGAAGTGCACAGCAGACAATGCCCTGCCTGGCTGAAGCCATGGCTCCGCTTGAGCTGGAGTCAGAGTCGCCGAGTCCTGCCAATCCCTAAGCGAGTGCAGGATGCTCATGGAAAGGAGGCAGGGTGCCTTTCCTGCGCGTCCAGTACCTTGCAGGTTGGCCCTAGCCCAGCAGCTCAGTTGATTAGAGTGTCATCCCAATAGGCCAAGGTTGTGGTTCGATCCCCAGTCAGGGCACATACAAGAATCAATCAATGAATTCATCAATAAGTGGAACAACAAATCCATGTTTCTCTCTCTCTCTCCCCCTTCCTATCACTCTAAAATCAACAAATAACTTTTTAAAAGCACCACGAAGGTTGTATATATTGGGATTTTCTTTCCTTCTCTGGTGTCTTTAAAAATCACATACTATCAGAGTCAGAGGGGTCTTTAGTCTAATCTCAACCTTTAATTTCAAAAGTAAATGCCAGCAAAATTAAGGGGAGAAGCTGGCCTCGGAGGCCCTCATGGAAAGTGCTGGGCTGGGACCCCGAACCCCTCTCCTGAACCCTGGGTGGGTCATTCCTGTGTTTGTGCTCTAATTCAGTGCCACACGCTGAAGCGTTGGGATAAAACAGCGGATCAAGTACACGGAGCAGAGGGAGACGCCCGAGGCCCTGTGGTGCCGAGGGGTGGGGTGAGTACTGGGCGCCACAGTGTCTGGCCTTGGCCTTCGTGAGTTGAGGAAAGGCAAGTTACTGAAATGACTTTCTATAAAATAATAGGAAAGGGAATAGGGTGGAACCATGAACTTAAACTCTGGAGTCAAGGGGACAGGGGGGGCAGCCAACAAATTGGTCACTTTGGGGCTGGCTTCTTCCAGGTAAAAAGTGGACATTGGGGACCCTCAGCACCCTGTGCCTCCTCTGGAGAGTGGAGGTAACATGCTCTGCTCTGCCTGCTCTACGAAGTTTCGAGAAGAGCCAACTAACCAGAATTAACACTCACTCGGCTTCTATCATGAGCTAGTGGAAGTGCTGAGCACTTCAGCTGGAGTTTCCTGAGCCCAGCAGCTGGGGGACAGACACCAATGTCCCCACATCACCCCTGAGGAAGCCTAGGCATAGAGAGCTGAAATAACTTGCCCAAAGTGAGAGAGACAGTAAACGGTAGAGCCAGGGGGGACCTGAGTCAAAAGACCTGCTTCTAAGCGCTCAGTGCCATGCTGCCTTGGGGCAAATGCTCTTTCACAAAAAAAGTGAGGCACATTGGGTGGACCCTCGGCCCTGGCCACCAGAGTGCAGGGGGGAAACCAGTGTGGAAGGAAACACACCAGGGGCTCTCATGCTCTGGGAGAGTGGGAGGAGCCCGACCCCCTGCGAGGGGTGCCACAGCACCCTGTTGCCCCCCTCATCCTCAAAGCCCCAGAAGGGTCCATTCCCCTTGCTTTGTGCACGAGGAGGCCCAGAGGTCTCTGTGCGTGTCAGTGGTGAGCTTGCAGGGAGCCAGCTCTGTGGGACCTGAGTGCTCTGGCTGGGCACAGTGTTCCGGGTCTGACGGGGGTTTGCAGACAGCCTTGTCCCATTCTAATTTCTTCTTGCCCAGAGCCGGGTTCCTTTGATTCCTCCTGACTCTCCCCACCCAGTTCGAATCTTCCCCCTTCTCTCCTCTTTGAAAGAGTTGGAACCCATGGTGTATGCTTAAGGGGCCTGAAAAAGGCTGTCTTTCCTGAATGCTTTCTTTACCATCTGGCTTCTTCCTTCAAAGTGCACTGACCTTCTGGAGAGGGGGGCTCTGGAGCTGGGCCCCCTCCCCTGGGGAGACAATACAGTCGCAAGCACATGCGTTGGGGGTGCATGGCCACTCCTGGAGCTGGGCTGCAGGAGGGCTTTGGAAATGTCAAAACCAAGAGTGAGTGGGTGGAGGTGGGGGAGCTTCTGAAAACCAGTTGTGCTATTTCACCATCCACCTTTCTCAGACCCTGAAATCTCATGAGTGGAAAAGATGTGGGACTTACAGAGACAAAAACAATAAACCAAACCAAAACCCACACCCCCTGACACCATAACCCAATTTTCAATACAGGAATCAATGGACAAACCCCAAAGCACCCTGCAGACCTCAGGCTGAGTGGCCCAATTCCTCAGCAGCCCCGTGACACTCTTACTGCCCCCAGTGTGCGGCAAGCCCAGGCGAGTGGGAAGTAGGACGGTGGGAGGCTTTCAGGAGGTCGCCCCGGCCCCGCCGGGTGAACCGGGGAGGGGGCAAAAGTCAGACGTGGGCCTCTGAGAACTTCTGCCCCTGATTCCTTTGCACCTTTGATCCTTTCAATCCTCACTGTTCAGTACAGCAGCCACTCGCCACACATGCTGCTAAGCATGTGGAACACGGCCAGCCTGGCCCGAGCTGTACTCTTCATGTGAAACACATACAGTGCTTAGTATAAGAGGGGAATACCAAATATTTCAGTAATAATTTCATCTTGATTACACTTTGAAATGATACTGCTGATAAATTGGGTTAAATAACATATATTAAGTGAATCTCATGTGTTACTTTTTACTTTTTTAAACATGGCTGACAGAACATTTTAAATTACATCTGGTGCTCACAGTATAATTCTACGGGATGTGCTGACTTCACTCTTAAGGAACTGCAGCTTCTAAGGACTGGAAGGGGTCTTGAAGGCCATCAGAAACCCCATGACACAGATGAGAAAACTGAGGCCCAATGAGGAGACAGAGGCCCAAAGGCACACAGTGAATTTGCAACAGAATTTGCAGATGGTCTTGGGATCCAGTCTCCTCATTCCCTGCAAGTCTGGGTAAGGGTCTGAGCCACAGGCTCACATGCAGAATGTGAGGCATTCGCCCCTCACTGGCCCTGTGTGCCCGCACGGGGGATTTCTGAGACCATCCTCAGGCCTGGAGACTCAGCTCAACCCAGCCACAGTCTCAGATGGGCCCAATGTGGCTGAAAGACAGTGCTGTTCTGTCCCCATAAGAAACAGTGATGCTTCTAAGCATCTCATTCGCAGTGGGAATTATAATAGTACCTACCTCCCAGTATGGTCGGCAGCATTAAGTGAGAGAACTACGTAAAACATTTGCATGTGCTTGGCTCTGGGGGAGTCTCAGAGTATGCTTTCTGTTACTGTTAGCTGTAGTGACTGCTCATGGCCATCGTCCCCTCCTGAGGAGTCGGGCTTGCTGAGAGTAGGGGTAGCCTCCATGCCTGGGACATGCCCGACAAATTGCAGGCACTCCATGCTATCGATAACACTGAACCCAGATCTTACCCACAGTCAGCTGAGTTCCCTTCCCAAAGGTCAGCTCCGGGCTCCCGACGGTCATGCAGAAGTAGACACCGCTGTCTTCAGGCTTCACGCTGTTGAGACTGAGAACGGCCTGGGTTGACGTCTGTTTCACAGTTAGCTCCTCCGGCCCCACATTGTTGCCATACACAAGCTGATTTGCAGGATCCCAAAAGGCTAGGAACTCGTAATGACTGTTCATGCTTGGGGTCTGGAGCTGTCTCAGCCAGTAGATGCGCATGTTAGGAGGGGGGGTTTTGACTTCACAGACTATGTCCACCTTTGTGTTGTTCTGAGCCACTTTGGATGAAGGGGTCTGCTGGTGCACCATGCTGCTGCGGAGAGCTACGGGAAGCAGAGGGAGCAGAGACCATCAGCACGTCTTCCTGGCGACCGAGGTGGAGCCTCAGAGCCACCCTGAATCGAGTATCAAAGGAAAAGCCATGGAAGAACCTGCCCAGTTGCAGGGTCCAAAAGCTGTTGCACATTCGGCTTATGGTTCCTGGATGGGAGAGCGTGGGCACCCCACCTCCCAGGAGACCATCTGCAAGGCGGGTGTTTCCTCTGCCAGCTTTACAAAGGGAATGGGGGAGACAACTGCCATTTGTTGGCGGCATGCTTACCAGCCTGGCTCTTTGCATGATTATCTCAATCAAGACTCAATCTCACTTGGGGATTTTTATCTCCATTACACAGATGAGGAAACCGAGGCCTGAAGTTACTTGTTCAAAAATCCCACTTATAGCTGGTAAGTGACCTGGGATTCAGACTCAAAGATTCAAAGTCTGAAGTCAAAGCCTTTCACCTCGCCCTGTTGCAACTCTCCACACAGACCTTCAGCAGGCTCCAAGCAGCTGGAGGAGACCCAGGGCACGCTGGGAGAGGAGGTAAGAATCACAGGCAGAGCACGGGGCTGGGCTGGCCAACCTAAAAGAGGGCCAGCCACAGTTTCTGGACATGGATGGCAACCAACACTCACTACCCCCCGGGTAGGCACCATTAATGACCCTCATTCCCCAACCCAGCAGTTGATGGGTCACTGGATCCCCTTCCTCAGTGGAGGGACAGACACCCCAGAAGCAGGGCTGGGAGCTCATTTTGGTTTCAGACAGGAAGCACTGCATGTAGGAAGCTGTTCACGGAAAACTGGAGCACAACTCAGAGACCTGGCCTTGAACCCAAACCCTGCCCCTCACCAGTTGTGGAACCTAAGGCGAGTCATGGAGCCTGTCTCTTCTGTTTGAAAAGAGGGCGATCTAAGGCCATTGGTCTGACTGCCTCTGAGGTCTAGAATGTCCAAGAAAGCAAACTGTAAAACACTGTACGTGGGCAAATCATGGTTCATGTGTCTCACATATCAGGGGCTGTTACTGGCAGGAAATTAAATCTTAAGGAGAAATCTTAAGGAATGGGTCTTTCGCTACAGAGTCCAAAAACCTGAATCTGACTTAGCAAGCCTTTCATTTCAGCTGTTGGGTGGAGGGAGAGCGCAGGCCACAGCAGAGACCCAGGAGCAGTGAGACACAGACCTGGCTGAGCAGAAGAGGCCAGAGAATGGTGTGTGTGTGTGTGTGTGTGTGTGTGTGTGTGTGTGCGTGTGCACACACACGCACCCCTGCACCCCCCTGGGAGGAGCTGGCTTACTGAGGTGGTGGCCCATGCCCACAATCCTGCCTACACTGTTCTCAGGCTCCAGAGCGGCCTTTTCTAATACTGATGAAGTGAACTTAAACTTTTTGACTCCACTCTTATTACTCCAGGTTTCCGCTTGTATCAAGAATGAAATGGTACCTGGGGCCCAAGTGACTGCTGGGCCTTTGCTTTTCCCTCCAAATACCATACTGCCTCTTTCAGCAGAGTAGTGGTTCTTTATTGTTTTGGGTCACTGACCTTTTGGGGGAGATAAGAATGGAAAATGCCAGTATTTATTGAACCTGCCAAGCATAGTACATGCACTATCTCATTTAACCCGCACAAAACCCTGTTTCACATCCACTTTAAAGATGAGGAAATGGAGGCTCTGGAAAGTTCAGGACACGCTGAAGGTCACACAGCCTGTCTGGGGTGGATTCAGATTCAAAGCCAGGTCTAAAACTCCAGAACCTGAGCTTTGATACCCTTCCTGAACTGAAGGAACCTGTGGTTCCAGGATGGTGGCCATGTGCTCATGCGCACATAGTTGGGCCACAAATACACAGATTCTCGAAGACCTAAGAAAGCCCATAAGTGAGTCCTCGGCGGTAAAGAGGTCGGAAGGGGTGCTTCCTTCGTCATGACACGGAGACTTCCTGCTGAGACACTCCCTGGTCTCTCTCTGGTGACCACTTGTTTTTCAGCCCTGGGGACTAACCATCCAGCTGAGGCCCAACCCAATCTATGTGCCAGACACCTAGCCAGGTCTTGTCACACGTGTGGTCTCATTTGGTTCATTTCATTCTATCAGTAAGCTAAGTGACTCCGTTCTCAGAGGGAGGGACCTGTTGTTTCTAAAGTGATTAGCAATAATGTTAGCAGCTTTGAATGGCCTGGATTAGCTTTTACTTCAGATGTTCTTGAGCTCACATGGGTCAAAAAAAAGGGCTGCCAAGGCGTGGCAACCCCGGTGGGATGTCTAGCTTGGGGCTTTGGGCAAGAGAGCAGACCGAGTCCAGGTTAGTGGGCATTTTGGGAGGCGGAGGGACTTCTAAGAGGTGGTCTGACTGGGCTTGGTCAGAGGGGCGGCCTGGATTCCCGCGCGAAGCCACTTGCTGCGTTCCAACTCTAATTCTGCTTGTCGCTGAAGTCACACTACGCACCCAACCCCAGGGAACATTGGGGAAACAGGGAAACTCTGCCTGACGGAACACCCCACCATACTTGCTTGCGGACTGGCAACAGCCTGGTATTTGACAGACTGTACTGAGAGAACTTGCCCGGAAGTAATAAAAATGTGTCTACAGAACCCTGGGCCAAGTGCGGGACACCCAAACCAGGACTGGGCCTCTGGCACCTTCCTGAGAACACATCCCTGCCTTGTCTCTGAGCAAGGGCGTTTTCCTTCCTCTCCAGACCTCCTCCCTCTTTCTCTCTTCTTCCTTCCCATCTCCTTCCCTCCTTCCCTCCCTCCTGCCTCCTCGTCCCCTAGCTCCAGGCTTTTGGGCAGAGGTGGCCATAGTCCTGGGTTCCCCAGACCCCTGAGATAATGAGCTCCTTGGAGGACTTTCCTCTCCAACCTCAGGGGCTGTCCCTGCCGCACCGCCCGCCTCCGGGGGCCCCACAGCCCCGACTCTGGACTCTCTCCCCTACTCAAACAACCTTTTGAGACTCCTCCACCGCTTAGACCACCCGCCCCGGCCCCGAGCCCCCAGCCTCCCCCCACCCCCACCGTACCTGCCGGCTGCGCGGCAGCCAGGAGCAGACAGAGCCACAGCGGCATCTCGGTGCCTCCACACCGGGTCCCAGCGGGCTCGGCTGAGACTGTCCTGCAAGGCGGGGATCGGGGGGGACCGGGTGGGGCTGCGGAGGGGAGCAGGCTACAGGGAGGGGGAGGGATCTGGGGCGGAGCCTGGAGTGAGCTTGGTAAGGTCTCCACCCTCATCCTCCCCGCATTTCAAAGATCTTGGCTCCGTTTTTAAAAAGCGCAGTAGGACCCCCTGCTTTCAGGCAAGGAGGTGACACTACTGTCCTGTGCTGAGCACTTGCACTCGCCTCCTACCCTGGGAGGTGGTCAAAACAGGGTCATGATTCCATGTGACAGTTAAGGCACCTGAGGCTCAGAGGGGTCGGGATGTTCAAGGTCCTACGAGTGATGGTGGAGCTGGACCCTAACTCAGCGCCCTTCTTTTCTTTTTGAGTAGTTATTGCAAGGCTCCTGGGTGCCCCCAGCTCAGTGGGGACTGGAGTCACCAAGACCCAGGCCTTGCCCTCAAGGGCACGCGCTTGTGAAGGACAAAGGGCAAGCGCTTGTGAAGTTAACTAATGTGACCCAAGCACAGTATGATGCTTGAAGACAGTAAGCTAGGGCCTTGGAGGGGGGACCCCAACGCTGCCTGAAGGGGTCGTTGAAACCAGACCTAGCTCTTCTTAGCCCTGAAGAGCTGAGAAGATTCTAGGGCTCCCCTACTGTCCCCACAGGTGCAATTACAGTTATAATAGCACTAGAACGAGAAATTAGCAAAGGAACAAAGATGCCAACCTTGCAGCTGTGTGAATGTGTGTGTGGGGGTGAGTGCATGCCCAGCTTTCCTGCTCTGCCTGCCAGCTGCTCTGTCAGCAGGCTGCTCTGTCTGTTGGCAGTGCCACCCAGCCCAGTCAGGGACACTGGCCCCGGGAGTCTTCCCGTTCCAGTGGGGATTACAAAGGAAGTTCTAAGGAGGACTACAGGGTGTGTGAGGGCCTGCAGGGGTGAGGCAGCCTGGGGAGGGATGGGTGTGGGAGGAGGCCACAATATCAAGGAGGACCTAGACACGCAGGCCCCATGGGTCACCCTAACAACTAGGAGTTTGTCTAAGAGGGGTCGTGTGTCCCTGGAGGCCTAAAGCAGACAGTGTGGCAGGGGTACTTGTCAACGTCAGTGTCCAAAGCCAATTTCCTTTCCATCCTGTTCTGCCCCAGCCCCGTCGTCCATTGCTGGTGACCTACACTGCCGAGTTAGGTGTGGAGAATTCACAGTCTCTAAAGGAGAAGGAGCATTACATCCTGAATTTGTGGCTGCTCCTCCGGCCTAGGCAGAGGCCAGAGTCTCCCTTGACGTTGTCCTTGTACCCAGGAGCCAGGCCTGAGCATAGACAGGGCACAGAGCCCTGCAGAGACCACGTGCTAGTGAGCTTTCTTTCTTTTTAATTGAAATGATATTACATAACACAAAATCAACCATTTAATTTTTTTCTTTTTTGTTGAACGTATTGGGGTGACTTTGGGGTTAATAAAATTATATAGGTTTCAGGTGTACAATTCTACAATACCACCTTTGTACAAAATTAACCAATTTATGGGAATATATCCTAAGAATCTTGAAACACCCATTCAAAAGAATATGTGCACCCCTATGTTCATAGCAGTGTTATTTACAATAGCCAAAATCTGGAAACAGCCCAAGTGCCCATCAGGAGATGAGTGGATAAAAAAGCTGTAGTACATTTACACAATGGAATGCTACACAGAAGAAAGAAAGAAGGAGCTCCTACTCTTCATGACAGCAGGGAAGGGATGGAACTAGAGAGCATTATGCTAAGTGAAATATACCAGTCTGTGAAAGACAAATACCATATGAGCTCACTCACATGTGGAATCTAATGAACAAAATAAATTAAGGAGCAAAATAGAATAAGAGGCATAGAAACATGGAACAGACAGACAGCTATAGAGGGGGGAGGTGGAGACTGGTTGTAAGAAGGTGAAGGGATTATTAGCCAAGTAACATGTATGCATGACCCATGGGCATAGACGACAGTGAGGGAGTAGGGAGGGTGAATGGAGAGGGACAAAAAAGGAAAAAATGGGACAACTTTAATAACATAAACACTAAAATATTTTTTAAAAAACAAAATTAACCACTTTAAAGTGTACAGTCCAGCGGTATTTACTGCATTCACAAAGTTACGTAACCACTGTCTCTGTCTAGTTCCAGAACATTCTCATCTCTCTGAAAGGGACACCTGTACCCATTCAGCAGTCACTCTGTCTTGCCTCTAATCCTCTCCCCAAATCTCAGTCACCACTAATCTTCATTTTGATTCTGTGGATCTACCTATTCGAGACATTTCATGTAGAAGAAATTACACTGTGTGGCCTTTTGAGTCTGGATTCTTCCTTTCTTTCTTTTTTAAAGAGATTTGTTCCTGCCGTGACTAGTGTGGCTCAGTGAGTTGAGTACTGGCCTGAGAACTGAGAGGTCACTGGTTTGATTCCTGGTCAGGGCATGGTCAGGGCACATGCCTGGGGTGCAGGCCAGGTCCCCAGTGGGGGATGTGTGAGAGGCAACCGATTGATGCAGCTCTCACACATCCGTGTTTCTTTCCCTTTCTGCCTCCCTTCCTGTCCCTCTAAAAATAAATAAATAAAGTCTCAAAAAGAAACCCCACCCAAAACAAAAACCAAAATATCTGTCCTACCTAAAAAAATATTTTCACCATTTTTTGGGGTTTCATATGAAATTATTTTTAAAAATCATCTGCCTTCAATAAAATGAGTACACTTTGTAAGTTTGTTCATTTATGAAAAATATGTAGTCTCTCCCTCTTTAAGTGAAACCATTATTCAGTGGGATCTTTCACTCAGTATGATATTTTGAGGTCCATCCATGTGGCAGCATGTATCAGTACTTGGTTCCTTTTGTAGCTGGGTAATATGCTATTGTGTGTATACTCAACATTTTGTTTATCCATTCATCTATTAATGAGTAAACTGAGTTGTTTTTACTTTTTGTTGAACTTTTTGAGTAACTGTCTAACTGTTTGCCATGGCAGCTGCACCAATTCACATTTTCACCAACAATGCATGAGAATTTCAATTTCCCCAAATCCTCAACATCACTCGTCACACACATGCCTGTGTGCACATGCACACACACAAACACACATGCACATACATATATCCGTCTTAGTAGCTGTAAAGTAATATCTCACTGTGGTTTTGATTTGCATTTCCTAAAGACTGATGATGTTAAATATCTTTTCAAGTGCTTGTTTCATCCTTCTTTGTATGTCTATTCAAATCCTTTACCCATTTTAAAAATTAGGTTGTCTTTTAATTGTTGGGTTATGAGAGGTCTTTATGTATTATTGATGCTAGGCCCTTCTCAGATATGTTTTGCAAATATTTTCTCCTGTACTGTTGGTTGTCTTTTCATTTTGTTGATAATGTCCTTTAATGTGCAACACTTTTTAATTTTGATGAAGTCCAAATTATCTATTTTTCTTTTCTTGCTTATGTTCTTGGTGTCATATCTTAGAACCCATTACTAAATTCAAGGTCATGAAGACTTACCTGATGTTTTCTTCTAAAAGTTTTATAGTTTTAGTTCTCATACTTTGGTTGTTGATCCATTTTGAGTTTGTTTTTCTATATGGTATGAGGGAAGGGTCCAGTTTCATTCTTTTGCATGTGGACATCAAGTTGTCCTGACATCATTGAAGAGGTTATTCTTCTCCCATTGAGTAGTCTTGGCACTCTGCTGACAATCGATTGACCATAGATGTTTGGGCTTATTTCTAGACTCTCAATTCTACCCCATTGATCAATATAAAATTCTATCCTTTGGTCTATTTTTTAAGTTTATTTATATAGAGAGGGAAAGAGATGGAGAGAAACATCAGTTCGTTAATGTCTCTTGTATGCCTGCTACTGGGAACCTGGCCCACAACTGAGGCATGTGCCCTGCCTGGGAATTGCACTGGTGGCCCTTTGGTTCACAGGCTGGTGCTCAATCCACTGAGCCACACCAGCCAGAGCCCATTGGTCTATTTTTATGCCAGCAGCACACTGTTTTGCTTAGTGTGATATTCAATTTTATGTCAACTTGACTAGGCCATGGATGACCAGATATCTGATTAAATATCATTTTTAAGTGTGCCTATGAAATTGTTTTTGGAAGAGACTAGCATTTGAATTGGTGGACAGAGTAAAGCAGATGACCCTCTCCTATGTGGGTATTATCCAATAGTCTCAGGGCTTGAATAGAGCAAAAAGGCAGAGGAAAGTTGGACTTGCCCTCTCTCTACCTGTGTGCCTGATCTGGGACGTTGCTCTTCTTGCTCTCCACACTCCTGGTTCTCAAGCCTCTGAACTTGTACTGGAATTTACACCTTTGGCCCTCCTGCTCTAAGGTCTTCAAATACCACCACCAGCTTTTCTGGGTATCCAGCTTGCAGACAACGGTTCATGGGACTTCTTAGCTTCCAAAATTCCATGAGCCAACACCTTTTAATAAACCTCTTATATGTGTCTCCTATTACTTCTGTTTGTCTGTTGAATGCTAATACATGCAGTTTTGTAGTAAGTTTTAAAATCAAGATGTGTGAGTTGTCCAGCTTTGTACTTCTTTTAAAAATACTGTTTTAACTATCTAGGACCTCATATTCCCATATGAATTTGAGAATCAACTTTTCTATTTCTGCAAAAAAGGTTGTTGGAATTTTGGTAGGTATTTTGCTGACTCTGTAGATTGCTTTGGGTAGCATTGCCATCTTAACAATATTAAGTTTTTCAATCCACGAATATAGGATGTCTTTCCACTTATTTAGGTCCTCGTTAGTGTGCTTTAGTGTTGTTCTTTGGTGTTCAATGAACAAGTCTTTCACTTTCTTGGTTAAATTTATTGTTTGGTATATTATTATTTTGGATGCTGTTGTAAATGGAATTGTCTTTCTTAATTTCCTTTTTTAGTGTCTTTGTTGCTGGTGTATAGAATCACAACTGATTTTCTGTGTTGATCCTATACAAAGGTGGTTGGGAAGAGCAGTGGGTCAGATCTCAAAGGATCTTAGTTGGATCA